TCCACAGGACAGATGAGTAGGAAGAGCAGGGCTGAGAACCAAAAGGAGACACTGCCCTGGCCCCTACCATGATCTAGTCCTAGTCCTTGAGTTGAACAAAAATTTTCTCATCCATAAGTTAGGGGCCGTCCTGCTTGCCTTCCCCCTCAACAAAGGTGACTCTGGGGTTCACATGAATGAACGTAATGAGTGAGTGACACTCACATAATTCTGATTCTAAGGATTTCTAAGTTAGTAGTTTGGAAACCAAGAAAATATCCCCTCTCCCCCCCAAAAAGATAATACTATATCTGGTAGTGAGGTTCTTGGTCTAATGCTAAAAACCAGTCTCATGACCATGTATGTGGAATATTATATACAGTAATGGTCCCACAGATCATCACCACCGTTGGGTCATCCAGTGGTGGATGCTGCAGTTGGAAGTTTAGGTGAGTAACAGGACAGAATCCCTTTACACAGGGAAGAGGAGAGAAAATTGTACAAAAGGAAGCTGCAGAGGGGATTCCAGGGGTTCTCATGGGCAGGAGGTATGGGAGGCCCTTTCACATGCAATGATTTATTGGGTACAGCAAAGATATGGCAGGCCTTGGCTTTAAAAACTCCCCATAAATAAGTCTGTTCAACACCTGCTCCTACTCTCCCACCCATTATCTCCTCCAGTTCTTGCTGTCTTCCCCAGATTCTATTTTTGAAGTTTTTAGAGGACATATTCCAAAGCCAGCCCTTCCCTAAGACTCAGGATGGAAAATTCACTTTCTCCATTTAAGTGACTAATCGCTCTCTATAAAACAGACCAATATGTGATATATAAATATATACTATAATAACACAAGGGCCCTGGGAGAGAGGAAAGTTTGGCCAAATAGAGTGCATTAATCTTTGAAGAGCCTTGGAAGACTTGAAAGAGGTGAGCTGCTCCTTTACTGTTTTTCTCTGGACAGAGACCTTCCAAATCTGACTTTTCAAACCTCCGATTGAATTCCCAGCAATCTGCTTTTCCTGACTATAACCAGAAAAGCATGTTTAAATGAACATGAAATTCCATCAGTATAAAGACTTGTGCAGCCCAGTCGCCAAAGCTGCTAATAACGCCCTATTGTGTTACTGTGGTGTTCTAGGTTATCATTATGCCGTCTTTGCGCCGGGTTGAGAAAACAGGACATTCCACTGAATGTATAATCTGGGTTCCCTCCAGACCAGAGATGTATCGGCTGGAAGCTGAAACGAGTTGAGATTTGATGCCATGGTAAAGAGAACCACTCGCAGGCGGAAAGAGAGTTGCCTTGTCGGGGTGGGAGAGGGACAGTGGTAGGTTTAGTTCCTGGGATCCACTGGTTTCAGCCTGCAGACTGTTTCCCCAAGCAGAGGATCTCACAAGCCCAAGGAAAAAACGAGTCAGCATTCTTTCCCTTCCCGCTCTGCTGTGGTTGGGTGCTGGACAGCAATGTCCTAGAAGCTTCTTTCTAGGACAGAAGAGCATGTCTTTAGGGACAGTCCAGGGGCCTGTTTGCCAAGACAGTCTGTCAGCCCATCCCCCAGCTCTAGACTCAACAATCACATAAATCACCCTGGCTCAAAGTGTCAGGCTGGAGGCGCACGCACAATCACACTAAGTTCTAGCAAGTTGTTTATTTGTAGCACAAAACCATCCCTGGATTCAGGCAACAGGACAACCAAAAGAAGTCAGAGGCATCCACTTGTGAACATAAAGTCACATGCTTGCAAAGTTCTCCCACAGTCCCTTCCCCCATCCCAAGCATTTTTGGATTCGTAACTATTTTTAAAGGAATTAACAATACATTTAAAAATTCATTCCAGATTAAATATAAAAGAAGCAACTTCCTTTATAATAGTGAGGGGTGGGAACCCTAGCACACTGCTTAGAGATTCTCTCCACTTAATGTTTTTATAAAAGATTTTGAAGTTTCAGGAAAGTATAAAAACAGAAGTTAAAGCTCCTGTTTTCTAGAAAGAAACACCTTTATTATATAAGATAAATATGGTCACACACAACTATGTATTTAATTTTTTTTACAAAGGAGGTTCATAATGCTCACAGTGTTTGGTAACTGTAATTTCACCTAAGAGTATACTTTGAGCACGGATTTTTTTCTTAAAGTATCCAACCAGCATGTCTAATACACAATGCATAACCAATACTCTGCATATATCATGCCTTACCTTAATCTCCTGTTGTTGGACATTTCAGTAATTACCATTTTTTATTATCATAAACAGCACTACCATGAACACATATTAAGGTACTTCTGGTGACTATTTGGATATTTTTTCTCTAAAATATGAAACTTTAGGAGAGTCTTGATTTTTTCTAAAATCATTTGAAACATATTGCCAAATTATCTTGTCTATTTCATTTGGTATTCACATGCAGCTATTTAAATTTAAATTAAGAAAAGTTTTAAAAGTCACTTCCTCAGCTGCACTAGTCACATTCCAGGTGTCTGATAGGCACCTGTGGTTAGCAGCTAATATACTGAACAGCACTGATCCTCTCACTTCCACCGTCCTAGAAAATTCTACTGAGCAGCGCAGGTCTAGAGAGGACATACCAAATTACATTTTCCCTATTAACATGTGGCAGTGCTCACATTTTGGTCAGTCCTCAATACTTTAATTCTTTAAAAGTCTTTGCCAACCTAATAAATATTTTATCTTGTTTGATTTTTTCATTTCTCTGATTACTAGTGAGGTTGAACTTTTTGTTCATTTATTGACGTGAATATATTTTTTCCTTTGTGAAATATGCAGGTAGGCTATTCATTAAACCACTAACTATAATTTTAAAATTCATTACTATGGGGGAAGGGAAGTGCTGGAAATTGAGCCAGGGCCTCCGGCATGCTAGGTAAGCTCCTCTCCCTGACTCCTTACTTTTTACATATTGAGCAGTCTTCATAGAGTGACTTATGTTGCCAAAGTTCTGTGACTTACTATATTTTATTTGAGGCATTTTTCACTTATGGAATATGGAATTTTCATTTGTTCAAATCTCTGTATTGTCCTTTTATAGTTCCCATATTGTCATCATGCTTTGTAAGCTCTAAGACTACTTTAATGGCCGCCTAAATTATCTTGTAAGACTACAGTAATACTCATCTAACTCTCTTCCAGTTCTGTGATAATTTCACTTAAAATTTTAAAGTTCCAATCCTTCTGAGATTTATTTTGGTTTGTGATGTAAAGTACAGATCAAACCTTTTTCTCCCCTCATTTTGTAAACCATGGGTCCAAAAACCACTTTTGAAAACAATGAGTTCATTCCGTACTTACTTGAAATTCCACTAAATGCTGACTTGCACTTGGATCTATATCTAGATTTTCTATTCTGCCCTTGGCCTTTACTATGCAGCTCTTACTAATTTGTCTTTTAATGTAATTTAATATTGGAGAGAAAATATTTCTTTATTATTCTTTTCCAAAAGTATTGTAGTTTGTTTTTACTCCCCTCCAAGGAAAGCTTAAACTCATTTTGTTAAATTCTTCTCATCACCCAGATAAACTTCAGAACTTGGGCTGAACTGAAAAGTTTAATTGGTTTATAAACTAACTCGGGAAGAATGGGTTGTCTTTCCAGTATGGAGTCATTCTACAGGGGGATGGTGATCCAAGTTTCCTCGTACATCCCTCTGAACCAGTTTTTTAAAGAGCACAAATAATAGCACCAGAGTGTTTTCAGTTGCCATCCCTGAGTCCATGGCTAGCGCTCTCACCCACCAAAGTAACAAAAGAAATTCCGTTTCTTAGCTTTGGATTGCATTTTCAGTATCCTCTGTCTCATAAATCTGCAAGAAAGAGATCTCCCTTCTCATCCAAAGAGTCTAGATTCAAAACAGTCTTTACGGAAAAACCAACTCCAGAGGCAACTGCAAAGCACATCTGGTGTCTAGCTGGCCAGCTTATTTTGCAGGGCTCTGTTTCCAACTCCCCAAAAACTTTCCACTCTGTGAAATTCATCTCTCCACCATTGTAACTGCAAGCTCTCTCCTGGCCTTGAGTGCTAGCAGTTTTAAAAAACAAGGTTCTTCTCTGAGGGTTTTTTTATTGTTCAAAAGCTGGTTTTCAGCAGATAGCATGTAGCTTCCGAGTGCCTGCGGCTTGGCAAAGCTTTGGGGATCTGGGAAGTGTTTAATTGGTCAGAGTTAAGCTCTTCCTTGAGAAAAGTCCTGAAGTCTAACTGCTGTTCCTTTTAGCAAGGAAACCAGCGCTCCTGCATCTCCCGGGTAGCCCATTTAGTCAAAAACTTGAACTTGCCTATATCTGGAATCTAAGTCCAAGGAAAAGGAGCGTTTACTCGCTGGGAATACTGTATTTGGCAAGGTCTGGAGACATTTTTGGTTGCCACCCATAATCAGGGAAGGGGAGAGTGTACCTGGCATCTAGTGGGTAAACAAGCCCAGGGATGTTACTAAACATCTGCACCTTCCTGGACAGCCTGGTAACAAAGGATCACCAAGCTTAAACCTCAGTAGCGCGGAAGTAGAGAAACCCTGACAGTGTTTGCACTCAGAGCTTAGAAAGATGCATTATATTATCGGGAACAAAGAGTATGCATTTTGTTTTTAAAAAGAGACCATCGGCTTTGAAATGCCCGCGCTACTTTTACCTACACTAAGAAGGGCTGCAAGACCTTCCTCTGGTAGTAAGCAAGCCTTCATCACCAAAACGGGAAGGAGTCACAGAAGCAAGTCAAGCCAATAGCATCCTCCAACTCCCTCGCTTGCTCCCAGGTCACAGAGAGTAAGACAGAAAAGAAGTCTGCGCCCCCAACAAGCAGCGTGGCCTCCCGGGGAGGCTGGTCAGCGCCACGAGCACGGGAGGAGCGCTCCCCAACAAAGGCGCGACGCTGGCCGCCAGCACCTCCCGCGGCCCCCCAGGTCCTTTGGGGTGCTCGCCTGTCCCAGCGCGACCCTGCGACCGGCCCCGCCTAGGAAAAGCAGCATCACCAGCTCAGCCTGGCTGCAGCGACTCCCGGCACTTACTTGTCCAAAATGAAGTACAGGTCAAATCCTCCATAGCAGGCTGGACCCCCATCCTCCCTGCGTCCCCCTTGTCCGGCGCAGATGAGTGCAAGAGTTGCCAAAGACAGCCACTTGAAGCCGAGGCCGAGGGCGCGCTGCTCCGCGGTGGCCATGACCCGCAGCCCGGGGACAGCCCGGCCTCCGCTCCCCACGCTGCGCGCACGACTGGCCGCGACCCTCAGGCGCGCGCCATCCAGGGGGCCCCGCAGCCCGGCTCCCTCGGAACTCCCCGGAAGCAATTGTCTGCAGCAGTTCAAGCTTTTCCCTCTGGTTTCCGCTTCGGTTCTGTTTCTAGGTTTCAGGTTTCAAGAATCCCGATGCCGAGCTCCACGTTTGCAAAGGGGCTTCGCCGGCTCGGGCCGCAGGGAGGCTCCCCAGGCTGCGCCGAGATTTTGCAACCGAAGCAGTTCAGTCCGGACGGTTCTTTGTCCCGGATTTTAAGTATTATGGGGTGGGTTTTCAAATTGTTCTTGGTTTGGGCAGTGCTTTGCCTTTTCTCCCTCCCCTCTTCCCCCCTTTTCATATTTTTGGGAGAAGAAAGTTCAAAGAGTGCCACCTTGTGGTAAAAGACGGCCAGAGCGCTGTTGGGGTGTACGGGAGAGTGGCTGGGCTGGGGGAGAGGGGACTTCCAGACTGAGGATACAAACTTCTTTTACCCTAACATTTGCAATTTGCACAGCTGAAAGTTTTCCTTTCCCTTAAGTCACGTATCTGCCCTTTCTTTTTCCATGACCGCTTCTCCATCCTTTCTAACCTTCATATACTTTCTCTCCCTTTTCTGTATTCATGGATATGGTCCCCATAAATATTTGGTAAGGACTCATTTCCTCCCAGCACTGTGGTTCTGACTCCAGGACAAACACAAGCCATTGTGCAAATCGAGTAGGGAGAAACAAGGCTTTTGTCATCTGAATCATCCAAGTGACCTTATGTGGTCTTAGCACAGATGGCCATGAGTGTGTCGGGGTCCAGTTGAAAACAGCTTTGAAAAGCACGCACAGTTGCCACAGAGTGTGGCACTCTGGTAGCTTTCAGCTCGGAAGAGCTGAGCTCTCTAGATCGTCTCTGTCTCCATAATTTAGGGATTCTGTGACAACAGTTCTTTCTTTCAGCCTATGAACTCTGGCTTTTTCTGTGCATGTTTGGTGCAGGGCAGTGGGAGTAAAACAGCTTTGGTCTAAACATTTGAGACTGGCAGGCAAGGCCTGTGCTGGGGCTTCTTGACTGGAAGGTCTTCTTTACAGTGGTCTCTGAGCCTCATTTTCCAGTGAGACCCCAGATCTTGCTACTGTGTCTTCCAATCTGGGAGTCCACCTACAGACACACACATGGCCGCTGTCAGAATTCTTTATCCACACTCCACATCCTCCTCTCCACAGGTGAGACCCTTACCCCGTAGTAGTTTTCCTCTAAGCCTTTGAACCCTTATGAGTCTTTAAGCCTCTCTATGCCTCCCAGACCCTTATACAATAGTGGTTTACCACAGTGAGTAAACCATAAAATCTCATTAATGTTAGTGGGATTTCCCATTAATGCTAATTCAATGTATTGTACCATCCTACCTCTAAAATGATCCTCCGTGTTCCTCATCTCCTGTATATACAACCTCTCTTATTGAGTAAGGGACTTATAGTACAGTAGTTGACGAAATATTGCAGAACTGATGGAGTGTGACTTCTGAGCCTAGGTCACAGAGACACTGATTTCCCCTCTTGCTCTCTTGGATCATTCATTCCAGAGGTGCTGAATGATTCCCTGCAGAGAGCCAGCATCAATTGCCAGCCGTGGGAGAGACCAATCTCGGAAGTAGGTCCTCCAGCTTGGGGAGCCGTCAGGTGGCTGCAGCCCTGACTGGCATCTCAACTGCACCCTCATGAGAGACCCCAAGTCAGAACCACTCTGCTAAGCCTTTTCTTAATTCCTGGCTCACCAAAGTCATGAACTAATGTTTATTTTTACTTTGAGCCTCTAGTTTTGGGGGCCATATGTTATGCCGTAATAGATAACTAATAAATGTTTAGTACCATGTTAAACCTTTGGGAATTTCTTTAGGAAAAAAATTACTTAACTGTCTCTCTCACTTTCTTGGCAACAAAACTCTTTTTAGATAATGCTTATTGAACTCATATTTTGGGAATGACAGCTTCCAAGAAAAAATAATTAGGGAAAGGTTTAAATACTATGACCTGTCCAAACCTTCCTGCTCAAATGTGTTACCATCCTCTTGAGGAAATTCTCATTGTTCTAATAGGACTTGGAGCATCTTGGTTGCTAACCCTTGCCAAGGAGCTCAACGTTCTGGAAAAGATTTATTAGCCTTTTAAAGATCCAAAGAGATATATAGGATTTTCCAGAGGCTGTTCAAGCCAGTGGAAAACAAGGCACGCGTTGGGTCCAGAATATGGCTTGACATTTCTGGGGTTGAAGACGTTCATGAGAAAATTAATCATGCATGTTGAAGCTGAGGCAGGGAAGAGATTTTTAGAGGAGGAAGCAGTCAGCAGTGCCACATACTAAGGCAATCCGGAGGACAAGCCGTGAAGAAATCTCACTGATCTGATACACTGATTTGCCTCAGTGTCACCAAGAATTCCAGTGCAGGAATGTGAGGGCTGAGTTACAAAGAAAGGGATCTCACTTTCAGGAATATAAAGGAACAAGGGAGTAACTTGTTAATGTTCAAATGATTTATTTACTGCAAGAAAAATCCTTAAGTATTTAAAAATGTCAAGAACTCTAAGTGCCTTGTCTTCCAAAAGACTGGTCATACCAGGGCTGCAGCCCTCCGCTCAGATCCCTGTACCTGAATATGACCTATCTGTTGACCTCTTAGTGATTCACTCTCTTTTGCCACCTCTGACACTGTGACCCAGCCCTTTTCATCAAGCTGTCAATCATACAGTTGTATTCTAATGACAGTGAGGTCTAACTTTCCAACAATCTCATTGGAACAGCTAAGTTTTATTTGTTTGGGTTCATGGAAAAGATGCTTGACACGAATCTAGATAACACAGACTATCCCAGAAATATTGGAATTTTTCCCCCTTAGAAATATTTGCCACAATATGGACAGATATAATAATGTCCACTAGCTTCCTGTCCGTCATGTTGGTAGGTTCTTGGAGATTTCACTGGTCCCTCAGACCAACATCTGTAAAAAGTCATGAGTATTTCCAGAGGCAGTTTATCATCTATAAAAACAAAGTTTCCAAAGAATCTGAAACAGCTGAGTAATGACTTTGGATGAGAGGAAAACAAAGGCAACAGAAATAAAGTGAAACCAAACGGTGCAACCATAACGTGAGTAAGAAGCCCTGATAGCACCTCATAAACCAGACCCTCTGCAGCTTCGGCACAGAAATAGTCCAAGCTTTGCAGTCTTTTTCTCATTAAAACCCCAACCGAATAGCAGCCAAGTTTGACTTAAAAATAAATTCAGTCCAATATAATCTTTGATTCAGTTAAGAGCAATCCAAAACCCCAGCTTGAAGCCCTGTTAACAACCACCCCAAATACAGAGATTAAAAGCTCATTCGACATAGGCCCCAACCCAATTCAGACTAATCCAGAGGTCTGCAATAAATGAGCCCATTGCATCTATCGGTCAATATCAGAGAGAGAGAGAGAGAGAGAGAGAGAGAGAGAGAGAGATCCTGTTTAATGTGGTGTGCAGCCCAGTTGAGTTGAGGCCACATGCCATCCCAATTCACCCCAACTTTACCTTCCAGGAGGGAAACTGGAGTGATTTCTATTGGGAATTTGTAAACCTAACAGGAAAATCCTACCGATGCTAACATCAAGCCTCCCTTAAAACTGACTGCCCTTACTCTGCAGTGAAGTATAATGAAGACAAGCTTCACCCACAACCCCAACCTTAAACATAGGTGGTGTGTCCTTACCTACCAGAATGTGACGTCTGGCTCTTCCCCCAGATCAAAATAATAATGTGTTGAATTGATTCAGGACATTGAGAAAGGCACAACAGTGTAACTAAAGACACTTGCAAAAGAAGACTGCTTCGGAAAATGGCATGAATGACGGAAAAGTGTGTTCAAAACAGGAGATATCAGTTTAAGGGAAACTGAAGGTGATGTGTATTTTACTGTAGTACATTTTTACAAGTTAAAGGTTCACTGTGACCTCCCTTATAGCATACATTCACAGAAAGACTAATCAAATGTGGAGACAAAAGCACACGCAGAAAAACATATACACCGAGAGGTAACAGAGACTATGCAGGAAAAGGGAATTCCCCAATTGCTATTGTCGGAGTATTAAAAGAAGATATTACATCTATAAAGAAAGAAGATGATGCTAGAAAAAGAACATTCAGAGGGAAACAAGAACTCTTAGAAATCAGAGTTCAATAGTAAAATTGAAAAAACTCCACAGAATAATTATGATATAAACTCAAAGGCATTTTGAAAAGTACAGTAGAAAAGATAGGGGCTGGGGGTTTAGCTCAGCGGCATAAGCGCCTGCCTTGCAAGCAGGCAGTCATGAGTTCAATCCCCAGTACCGATTAAAAGGAAAAAGACAAAAAAAAAAAAAAAAAAAAAAAAAAATAGATAGCACAAGGAAAAAGACAAGCAGAAACCACAAGAGAAATCCTGGACACGTCCAGAAGGTCCAACATCCACATACCACAGTCGTGGTATGAAAGGACAGAAAAAATAAAGTGGAGACATCATAACAAGTTTCCTAGAAAAAAGACTGTAAGCTTTTAGTTTGGGAGGGTCTTCGGAGTGCCTAAAGAAGAGCTAAAAACAGACCTATTCTGAGTTTATTATTAAAATTCTGGACACGCAGGACAGATATTTTATAAGGTTCTAGAGAGAAAAATAAGGTCACGTGGATGTAACTAATATTTAAATAAGTAGACATGGAATAAAGATTACCCTTGGTATGTGGGTGTGTCTCATTTAATCAGTTGAAGGTCTCAGGAGAAGACACTCAGGTCTCTCAGAGAATTAGGATTTCTGCCCGGTTCCCAGCTGCCCTGGCACTCAGGACTGCAATGTCAGTTCTTTCCTGGGTTTCCAATCTGCTGAGTTGGACTGATCGGGTTCCACAGTCACATGAGACAGTTCTTTAAGTCCTGTCTCTCCGTCTTCTTTTCTGTCTCTATCTGTCTCTGTCTCTATTTTTTGTCTCTGTCTCTATCTCTGCCTGTCTCTGTGTCTATCTGTCTGTCCATCTCTTTGCAAGCATTCACAAATCCCTGACAGACTGGTGGTTTCTGTTTCTTGGGAGAATATTGAGAGAGGAACTTGAGGATGAGAGGGAAGGCCTGACCCAGGATGATGATTATACAGATGGCCTGGAGTACAGACAGTCTAGGTAGAAGGATGGAGCTTTCTAAAATGATGCTGCTGAGAAGGAAATGAATAGCTAATTGATGTGATTTACTCTGAAGAGCCAATTTTACCTCAAAAATAGATAGTCAATGGATACTATCTGGTATCAATGAATCAACAATGTGCTAT